ATATTATAATATCTCTCTCTATCGATCAATGCATTTAAAGTGTCAGTAAACCATAAAAATGCATTAAAACCTTTTTAATCACTTTTATAAATTATATGTATCCTTTATTTTCAAAAACGTTTCTTTATTAAAGAAATACCTTTTGATCCTGCCAGTGACTTTAACATCCTGGTAACAATATCATAGATCTGCAGGTTCTCCTAGTCTCTGAAGCATTGCCACCGTAATGCGTAGAAAAAAAAAAAGAAACTGACTTACTGTGTCCCTTTCTGATCCTACCTCCCCCTGTAATAGACCTAAACTGGCCTGCTGAGGCAGGAAGAATAAGTCGCCAGGACAGATAGTAAGTGGTGCTCACACACCGCTTTATTTCTAAAGAACCGCAGTGCTCGAGCTGGGTGGCAACACTGCAGAGACTATATGGGCCTGCAGATCCTTGCCACCACATTGCACAGGCTCCAGTTCTTTAGCACAGCTCAGTATGTCCCTTACTATGACTGGGGGAGAATGATGTGTCTGGGCTTGCTGTACATCTGTTTAAGTGGCAATAAAGTTTTTTTGAAATAAAAAAAAAGTCAGAAGTACGACTCTCTTGATTTGTATCTAATGTCCCTCGCTATGTCGCAAAGCTTGCCATGCCACATAGGTTAGTTAGACCCTCCAACTCAGACTGTACAGAGCAGAGAGGCATCTAATTGGTAACATGACCTACAAACTAGAAAGAAAAGAAAAAGGTATTTCTGACAATGATATTTCCCCCTCTGCTAGTTAGATCTGATTGCTGGTGGTGAGCCATACCTTAAACACAACTCCAGGAATGATCTTTATTGCAAAATGACATTGGTCCAGCTTGGCTCGATGTAAGTATTAATTTCCGATATCTGGAAGCCTGCTGGGGATGCTGAAAACCACTGCGGTAGTCTGCACTACATATAGTGATAGCCATGATCATCTGGGTGCTGCTCCAGCGACCTCCCCTCTGCACAATGAACACTGGGGGTCACTGGTTTAGCACTGTCATCAATTATACAACTCCTTGTATTTTTTTCAATAAATACAAGGTGTTCTCCGATTGCCTGAGGTGGAGATTTTGCCATCACCCTCCCCTCCTTTCCACATCAACCAATCGGAGAATGCCTTGTATTCATTGAAAAAATAAATACAAGGCGCTCTCTGAATGACGGTGGCGCCGAGCAAGCAACTCCCTGTGTTCAGTGTGCAGAGGCAAGATGCTGGGGCAGCCCCTGGAAGATCACAGTTATCACTGTATGCAGCGCGGAGTACTACATTGAGGAAGGGGGGTTGTTGAGCGTATGATCTCAGAATATACTGGATGGGGATTTACGTTTGACATAACAGTCATGCATGCAGTGATCACTTTTTTACACGTCTTTATTTCTGTTCGTAAAGCACACACAAAAGGTTGTTATAGTGAGTTATGCATATTTAATCTTTGTATTTCATTTCACTTCAAATATAACCAACTTTAAAAAAAAATCAGTCAGATGATCTATTTTCCCACTGAGATTAAGACTAACTTTCCCCACAGAAGCACGTTTATAATTAGGTTTTCCATTAGTCATACCTCCATATGTTTCATAGCTTTATCCCATGTTTCCTGCTTTTCCTCAGGACTGTAGCCCGGGATCGAAAGAATGTTGTGAATATAATTAAAGATTTCATGCTATAGCAATAAAAACAATAAAAAAAATGGTAGATTTCTTTAAAATATAATAGGCACAAGATAAAAATTAAAAGGAAAGAGTTTGGTGACTTGTGTAAAAATGTTTACAAACATACATTTTCCATTTTCAACCAGAACACGGACGCTTAACTGCAATGGTAATTAGCAAAAAGTTAATAGGTTTCCAAGCTTAATCATAGCCATACGTTTCCAAGTCAGGCTGCGTCATGATGAAAAAAACTTTCTTGTTGAAAGTGAAAAATACATTTAGAAGAAGAAACCTTTTAATGTACCAGAAAGTCAATTTCCCTTAGCAGACAGAGAAAAATTACTTTTGAAATGATAATAACATGCTAAGGATTGAATGAGATTTTAGTGATTGAGTTTACATATACTTTAATATCTGTACTCTTACAGACTGAGGTTCGATCACACATCCAGAGGCATCTTGATAGGGTTTGGCTTCCACATATATTTGCTAGCAAAGGCACAAAAAGAGTTTTGTTTGATTTATGTTTTAGAAATAGGATTTAAATTAGCTCCCTTGCTAACAGGCAAGACTACAGCTGGACATACTCCAGTTGAATTTGTTCATTAAAAATAGTTTTTTGAACATTGGTTCAATTTTCTTAACAGTTAAAGGAGAACTATGAGGTGAGTGATTTCTACTCATCCTCATAGTTAGAGCCAACCTGTGTCCAAGAAGCTTGACCGGGAAGTGAGCGAACACATACTGTCGCTCGCTCACTTTCCGATCATCTCCCTGAAGAGAGCCGTGACTGCCAGTCACTGCTCCCCGCAGGGATCACCCCCCCCCCCTCTCCGATCCTCAAGCGCTGAGTGGAGGAACGAACGGGGGAGGGGGCGGGCACAGCTGGCTCTGTCTCTAGATAGGCAGAGCATGCTGTCACTCACGCAGCTGGGTGGATCCCGGCTGCGGCGTTGGGTCACGGGAGGTTAGTATATGCCCTCTCGTCACCCTGAAGAATACTTCCCCCATAGTTCTCTTTTAACCCTTTCCCAACTAATAACAGAATTATTCCGTCAATATCTTTCAGTAACTTAAAGACTGGTGACGGAGTAATTGCGTCATGCGGGAAAATGCGTGGAAGGACCAGCGCTCATGTTGTCAATGCTGTTGCTGGGTCCGTCAGTCTCCGATGCAGACCCTCCAAAGCAAATTAGGGGGTCCCAGCACTGTGATCACTGCGATAGCCAATCGCAGTGATTGGAGTGCTGTTACAGCCACTGATCTGGCTTGTATCTCCCTGTGTTGTGGAGCTGCAAGCCGGATAAGTGTGTTACAAAAGTGATACAAAGTATCTCAGAGGAGAATACAGTGTCTCCTCAGAATGCTAAGTATTAAAAGCCACTGTAAATCAAAAAGTAACCCTTTAATGCCCCCTAGTTTAAAAAAAAAGTTTCAAACAGTTTCTAATTTTTAAAAAAAAAAGGAAAAAAGCAAACAAAAAGTAAAAAAATAAATAAAATGCTTTTAATAAAAAAATGATAAGAAAATATAGTGCCAAGGAGGCTATTAAAGTTAGGAGACAAAACATACCACATTCAAAAATTGTTTCACACTAAAATTGTATTTCACTCCTTGTATTTTGTGACCTATAACTCCCAAAATAAACTGAAATCGCAGACATATGACATACCCTATAAATCAGGACAAATAAAATAATTTACTATGAATTACCTTCCGTTAGCTACACTAATTTAGTACACATTATTATTGCCAAAACTGTGAAAATGTTGAGGGTCCCCGTCCCCCCCCCTTTTTTAACAAATATTTTTCAGTAATCAGCTGTGGTTTTTTTTTCTTACAAAGACTTGTTCTTGAAGGTAAACTAAACTCGGAAACATTAGATTACAGTTAGCAATCCATAGTTAGCATCTGTATATTCTAGGTTGCAAAGGGAAGATCCACAGTGTGAACAGGTTAATAAATAAAGTACTACACAAAACTATACAGAAAAGAAACTGACAAATAAGCCATAAAAAAAAATCAGAGAAGTCAGTACATATTCCTTGTTTTTCCCAAGAAATAGGAGGCAGAATATTGAAATCTGCCGGTACTAGAACCTGCTGATGAATCTGACCACTCAGATATCCTGATGTTATTGGACCACCAATATTTCTTAATGAACAGATTTCAGTGTAAACCAAATACATGAATAGAAGGGTCGTTATCCTACTGGTCTCATGGGGACCAGAGCAGGTAAGGCTCTGTGTTACTACATGCAGTAGTCTGATTCATCAGATTTTACTGAACAATTCATGAAATAAGTGTAGAAAAAATGCAAATTAGTCAAAAAAGTATCACGCAGGCAGGAAAAGAACCTAAGCTTTAGCTATACCTTCCTCATTGGGTCTTGTAAATAGCAGTCTATAATTTTTTCATATAGGTGCTTTCTCTCATACATAAACTCACAAATCTGGTAGCTGCACATAGAAGAAGAAAAAAAAAAAAGAATTAGATAATTAATTGTCTTCACAAAGGTATAAAACAATTAAGACAAAAAGAAATGTAACATCTTCTACAAAAAGCTGTAAGGAACACATTTTGACCTTGTAAAATCAAACTGGGAACATATTATTGATTGCCATAATATGTTTATTTGACCCTACATGTGTATTCCTATATAAATATTAAATCATGTTACTACATACATCCTAAAATGTATGTTTCAGCATGAGCATTTCTAATTAGTTCTAATTAGTTAATAGTAACTGAGCCATGGAACAAGTCTGAGGGCTTGTACATGGGCACATGTGGGCTTTTCAGATGTGCTACACTGCTTGTTTCTTTAGATGACAGTAACAATAGGAACAGAGCAGTAATCGATAATAATGTATGCTGTAAACACGTGTGGCGTGTTTTATTTCGATTCCTCTGTGTCCATTAAAGCATTCCTGTTTGTATGGGAGCTGCGGCACAAATACTACAGAGATCTGTTTTGTGTTAATGCTTCCCTTTCAGGGTTCTGAACAAAGCGATGCAGAAAGCAAAGTGTCCATGAAAAAAAAAATGCTTGTATTTATGCATTTATATCTACCCAGGTTACATAACAATCAACAGTGTTTGCTTCGCTACAAGACTGTCACACCTGGCCAGAGGGAAGATCATGCCTTTGGTAGGTATAGAAAACCTTCAATACATGTTAAAGAGGGAAAATAATGCAGGCAGAGATGAAATCCTTCAACATTTGTTGTTCTTGTATATGAAAAGTTGGCCACGGGCTGAATGAGACAAAACAGCTCGATCCCCCATCCAAACTAAACAGCATGGATGGAGGAACTTCACTGCTGACTATTGTATTCAAGCAGCAGCAGTGCTTGAATCACCAAAATGTGACTGCAGCTGATTGTCTGCACTGTTTGGCTGACAATTGTCTGCCTAGCTCATTCGGTTTTACAGTAAAAGTTTGTTTTGCTGGGTTTGCCAACCATGGCTCGAATTATGGTAATCCAGAGGGATCGGCAAATATTCAAGCCGTGTATGGTCAGCTTAAAGCAGAATTATTGGGAGAGTAAAATGTACTCTTCTCAATACTTTGAGCTGGCATGTGACACTGCAGCTGTCACATGCCGGCTTTATAGATCGTTATCTGAGTGATCACAAACCGCTGATTGCTCAGGTCAATGCTTTCTCTCTGCACACTGTCAGTCACTGCCCCCCGCAGGTATCCCCCCTCCACCCCTTATCCTCTAGCACTCATTGGAGGGAGAGAACGAGGAGAAGGGCGGGTAGAGTCAATCAATAAATAGGGTGGATCTCAACAATATTGTCGGGATCCTTCCTGGCTTCAGCACGGCTCTGCGCTGTCAGCATATGCTGAGTTTAGGTCACAGGAGTACATTAATAAATGTACTTCTGTGACCCTACAGAGAACTAAAGCCAAAAAAAGTTTGGCTTTTGTTCTCTTTTAAGTTTCGCCTAGTCAGTAGGTCCATAACAGAAGTCATGAAGTGAGCTTTAAGAGTGCCAAGAGCACAGAAATGGGCACATGGGCACTAAACATGGGCATTGCCATAATCTAAGACTCCAAATTTACAAATATGAAGTGGGTCAACTGGGGGGCGGAGGAAGACTATCTGAATAAAGCATGTGACCTAAATATAAAAGGAATAATATCATGCCAAGAATATTCATGAATAGTCTTACAACTGAGCTCGTTCTGCTAGCTGAATCAGTCTGTTCTCCTCAAACTGAACTACTCCTCCTGCATGAAGCAGCTCGAGAAGAACCTGAAAGAGAAACCAATAAAACTAAAACTAGAGTATCACTATATGACATAATACAGTCCTGTAAACTAAAACCAGAGTGAATACCACCACCCCCCCCGTGGTATATTTATGCTATGAAATTGTGAACACAGGGACCAAGGGGTTCCAGTGCAGGGTCAATTTGTGTGCCCACCCATTCAACTGCTGGCAAAGCAAAAAGACTTCTACATTTTTTATCCAGTGACCACTAGATAGAAGTTAGCAGTGCAAAATTATTTGTGACAGTGGGAGTTGTCCCAGCACAATGGCCCCCCAAATGTATGAAATTAGTGACATAATGTTAAATCTTTTACAAAAACAAAAAACGGAGGCAGAAAGGTTTTCGTGTTTGGATTTATGAAACATACTGGTAGTAAGTCTGTGAAGGTTCTCATTCCTCCAGGTCATGGTATATCTGTAAAAAATAAGTCAAGGCAACTGGACTTGCTGTATTTTTCTTGAAGACGTTTCACTGGTAATCCAACCAGCTTTCTCAAATCAGATTTGAGAAAGCTGGTCCGATCACTAGTGAAACGTCTTCAAGAAAAATGCAGCAAGTCCAGTTGCCTTGGCTTATTTTTCACAGGTATATTGATAGTTAGTAAATAAATAATGAGATTGTAAATGCCATTTAGAAAGGGAAAGGCAACAAACTGAGTGTCAACCATATTTAGCAACTTCAGAGAGTCACTGCATATTTAAAAGGTCCACTCCAAACACAACTGATATTTCAGTTTTGCTTTGTTAGTGATGAGTAAAAGCTGCACTTTAATCTGCTTATATTTTGCCTTCCTTGGTTTCTCTCTCCATTCTCATATATGTGCTTATGACATTTTTATGTATTCATGACAAACCTTATGTTAGACCCAATGATGTCATCACTGGGTCTCTGTGTTTCCCCATGCAATTCAGGCAGATCATAACTGGTGGGAGAGGATGGCAGGGTGTTGTACATAGCTTCCTGAAAACATCACAGCGCCATACCTCAGTATTCCTCTCGAAAGACTTCAGCCCTAATGCAAGCTGTATATCAAAGTGCGTTTATGGTCAGGTGTCGGGAGGAATGGGCATTTCTAAGCAGACTATTTGGAAGCAGACCACCCTTGGTATCACCCACTTGTGATGCTGAGCCCCCATGACTAAAAAGGACTGAATTTAATGACTAAAAGGAGCAGGCTAGGGACAGTTCAGCTGGGGAGAACAGCTAGATGATGATGGACATCCACAAGCCTGGAAATATGACAGGCTCTATTTGACTTGCTGCAGCTTCTAATGTGCACTGTGAGGATCTCATAGAGGGCTACCTGTACCGCCTTGCAGAGCTCTGCTCTGGTACTACATGCATGGTTGGTCACACTGAGCAGCGCTATGTTAACCCAGCAGTGATGGCTTACATTGATAATGACTCCCCCTTGTGCAGTCTAGCAATATGATTGACAGATCTCAGCTACAGCTCGTGGTATGCTGAGACGCCGCAGCGGATCCCGACGTAGATGACGGGATCCGCCCAGCTGCGTGAGTGACAGCTGGCTCTGCCTATCTAGAGGCAGAGCCAGCTGTACCCGCCCCCTCCCCCGTCCGTTCCGCCAGTCAGCGCTGGCAGATCGGAACAGGGAGAGGGGAATCCAGCCCCTCCCCCTGTCACAGAAGAGAGCCGTGACAGGATCGAGAGGCGAGCGAACCCGGTATGTGTTCGCTCACCTCCCGATCTACTGAGCCGACTTGTGACAGTCTCATTGTCACAGGTCGGCTAGAACTATGAGGTGAGTGGAAATCACTCATCTCATAGTTCTCCTTTAAGCCTGATGAAGAAGAAGGGACCAACAGAGACAATGAGGCATGAACATGCTTACCATGACGTGCACAAGGAATCATACAAGGCATACATGATGTGCCTAGAATTTGGGGAACTGCTAAAAGGCTGTTCAGAGAGCAAGAAACTCTGGAACATAATAGTGATCCTGCTACATAGATGGAGATTTGTAAAAGAGGGCTTTTTCACTTGACGGTTTAATACTACAAAAACTACAAAGGCCCTTAAAAGACAAATGATCATGTCTTGTTTACCTAATAGATTCCCTATAAAGGAGAATAATCAAGTACATGGGGAGTCCAGCTACAAGAGCTTGATATCATTAAAATGGCTGATTCCTTTATATTAGGGAGTGGGAAGAGACTTTTAGCACTGGGGTTTCTGAGAGACAGAAGCATCTGGTGGGGGTTTCTGAGAGACAGAAGCATCTGGTGGGCGTTTTTGCCCCCTGACACCACCACAAAAACTTGGATATCAGTTCTGGGTTGAGACTATTCTATATTTACCAGTCCATTATGTGTTTGTTAATACTGGAAATCAATACCTGCTGCCTTTCTGAATGTCTGGAATCATCATCTGGACTGCACAGAAATTCTAGGACCTGCACAATAAAAAAAAATGATTGTAACATTACAGGTACGGCATGACATTGGCATTGTAAGTGCATAAAATATTTTAAAATGGATCCGATCCATCCAACTATTAACCAAAAAAAGAATGCATACTTGTTTTGTTATGTCTACTCAACATTTACTGAGAAATGTTTACGTCTGCTATGCTACTACCTCCTTTAGGCCCTTTTAGTTATTTAGATAGGTAGACAAACGTGTATCATTATTTCCATTTACTAGGGAATGCATATTGAACAATTAGCATTTTAAAAAGGGCTATGCTAATATTCCTGTCACCTAAACCAGAATAGATAAGGCTTCATTACCACAACCATCTTCAAGTTCTATGGAACATAGGGGAAAAATGGGGAGACCCTGAATGCAAATATTGAATAACTATGTGTCTTTCTGAAGCTTCTATGCTCTGGGAAAAAAGCAATGTGTGATGTACTGTCCAATAACCACTTTCACATCCTACCTCCCCCCTTTGTTTCCAATATAAGCCTTTAATTATCCTCCCTCCTGCAAGACACAACTATAGAATTAGTGCATGTCCTCATCATATCCAAGCTTGAAAATGTTAACACTTGCCTCTTTTAATAAACAGCTGTCACCACATGAGTCCATTCTGAGCTCTGCAGCATGAGTAATGCAATTGCCCTCTCGCTCCTATTGCTCGCTGTCAGTCCCACCACTGGCTGAAAACTATGCATAAAATACAGTTCATAAATGTAACTCTATCTTCCTCTTTCATACCTCTTCTGGCTAGTATTCAAACAACACCTGAACCTGCAACGTTTTCTCTACCCATCACATCCTTCTCTTAATTTCCTGTTCAGTTCTATATGGCAATTTCCAACTTAAAAACTCAGATTTCAAACAAGTAAATCATCTAGCTTAGCATGCCCTCTTCAGTCACTGGTTTAACACTGCATAATCCTGCAATGGAAACCTCTCCAAATTATTTAGTTAAGATTGTCCAGTATAGGGTACCATTAAAGTCTCCCCATATAAGAAAGTTTTAGACAAGTGTTTGCTTCCGATATTGTGGCAACAGTTTGGGGAAAGCCTTTTTCATGGTACAGCATGGCGATGCTATTGTTCCCAAAGCCAGCTACATAAAGACATGGTTTGATGAGTATGGTGTGGCAAAACGTAAGTGGCTTCCACAGAGCCCTGATCTGAGCCGTAGCAAACACCTCTCAAATGAACTAGATTGTGGACAGTGAGATAGATCTTCCCATTCAACATCTTTACCTGACCTTATAAATGGGTCTTGGGTAAAAGAGCAAAACAAATATGTTGTGAAAAGCCTTCCCAAAAGAGTAGAGGTGGTTAGAGTTGCAAAGGGTAGGCTAACTCCATAAGTCCATGGATGTGAAATTGGTTGTCCAAGCTTATATTGGTTTGATGGACAGGTATCCACAAACCTTTGGTCATATAGTATAGCTTACACCTTCTCTTCCTCTTCAAGGCGTTTCAAATACATACAAAATATAAGGGCTGCAAACACTAATCGATTAGATGGATTATAATCAATAATGAGAATCGCTGGCAACGATTCTCATCATGGATTAGTTGATTTTCGATTAGCTGCCGCCACTCTGCTCCTCCGTTCTCCTCCCTGCTGGTGCTGCAGCGCTCTGTGTCCCTTTGAATCCCCATTGCTCTGCCCACCTGTATCGACAGAAGCAGCGGGGACACAGACCACTGCAGCCGGCACCAGTGGGGAGAAGAGACTGCAGTGACTCTGCAATCCCCCTCTGCCCTCCCCCCTGTACCTCCGCTGCTGCTCTGTTCCTCCACTGCCTGCCCCATTTTTTCCACCTCTGCCCACCCTGTTCTTCCTCCTCTGCCCACTCTGTTCCTCCTCCACTCTCCTCCCCGTTCCTCCTTCTCTACCCCCCCGTGTCCCCTCTTCAGTTATATCAATCCCTTGGACTCATTGATAGAGCACCAGCATCAAGTCTCCCATCAGCGGCTGGTTCAGATTCTCCACTTACCTGGTCAAACAGCATTCGGTTGACAAAGAGAGTGTTATCTGGTTTGGCCAGCTGCCGGGCAAGAAATGTGAAGAGACAGCCCACCTGGGAAGGAGTGAAGTCGGAGTTTTCCACCATAACCTGAGAAAAACAGATTCAATGACAACAGGATAACCCATTAAAGGTGCAGTTTTCACCTATGGTAAAGTAAATCTGTCTTCTTCTACTTCAAACGCCCAATTATGAGCAATGGAATATATATAAAAAAAATGAAATTCTGTACATAACTGAATGTTTAAAGAAAACACAGGTTGACGCTATGAAAGCAGTGTGTACAGCAAGCTTTTACAAAGCATCTGCAAAGCTTTCAGCCTACTTAAAGCATATTTGATGATGACATTTAGCTCTAGTTTGAGGATGCTATACAAAGATCTTAGTAGAAGTTCTTTCAACCAGTAGAACTGAAGCTTACTAAAGTCTGTTAAGCAGGTTGTTTGAAGTGACAGTCAACAAACACTCCTATTAAAATCTGAATTTAACATATCCAAACTGGAACTAAAGGCTGCTTTAAAGTCATCAACAAAGCTGCTGGAAGCTGGCTGAAAACTTTGCAAATGCTCCACAGTAGAATGCTGTACACATTGCTCCTACATGCAAAAGTCAGTGTGTACAAGGCCTAAGAGTGGCATCATTCTTACAGACAGGTAAGTCTGGCCAGAATAGTTTGCCTTTCTCTCCTGTGAATCTATTCAGTGAAATGATTTTGTGTAAAATGCTGATAAAATTAGTTTAGATACTATAATATTTAATACAAATTATGATGACTTAACATCAAGCATACAGCATAAGCTTGTAAAACTTCTTTTACAAACGCTAGCAACGCAGCAGTTGAAAATCAAATCAGTAGGAAAAAATTGCAGAAAATTCAAAAATGGCTTGGCCAGCAGATTTGAAAAATGTTCCGGAGGGCTTGGCAGCGAAAGGGTTAATGAATAGTGCGTAAAGTGTTACCGCAACCCCAATGAACACTTACTGAAGTGCAAAATGGAAAACGTTCAGCAGCACTCAGCTGTCATAGTTAACAAATAACCTGTAATGCTTTGCATACACTGTTTTCAACGTGCAAGCTGCAGAGATGTCATTGTGATCCTGGCTTTGCTATGTTACTGTCACTGACCGTGAACAAGCATGCATCTAGCAAAGGCCAACAAATCTGCATGCTAACCCTGCCCGCTTCAGAGGCACCCTAATAATGTAGCCATATTCAGGTTTGCAGCCCTGGAAGCTGAACTCCAGACATATATAAATACACAAACTATTGCGGCTCTGCAATCATTAATACATCATCAAGCATATGTTACTTGCTCCATTTTGGGCTGTGAAATGTACCAATAAAACTGGTTTGTTTTAAAGTGACACTCAAGTCAGAAGTTTAATCTTAAAAATGCATTCAAGTACCTTAACTATTAACAAAAATATATCTTAGTTGTGTATCACTCCGCTGTAGATCATCAAATCATCTCTGAATTCATGCTGACACTGTCCTTCCTTCTGGAGTGTGACTATTTTTGTTCCCCATGGCCCCTGTGTGTATTGTAAAGTAGCCACTGCTCCAAGCTCGCTCCCCTGATGGACTGCAATCTCAACGCAAATTAGTAAACTAAATGTGAGATTGTAGTCCATCACAGGCGTGAGCTTGGAGTGGTGGCTACTTTGCAACACACACAGGGACCATGGGGAACAAAAGTAACCACCCTCCAGAAGGAAGGAAAGTGTCAGCACCAATTCAGAGGATATTTGAGGCTCTATAGCCGAGTGATACACAAATAAGATACAATTTTTGTTAATAGTTAAGATACTTGAATGCATTTTTAAGATTAACTCCTGAGTTTAGTGTCACTTTAACTTTTCAATAAGTGCATAACTACCTCTTGACCATGTCAGAAATCTAGTGAGCTTGTAACTTCATGTGGTCTCCACCTCTGCTGACAGTTAGCAGTGTTCCCAGTTCACCTACGGTGGCCCCAGAACCCCAACCCTTCTCCCCATGTTATGAAGATGAATAGAGGGGGGTGTGCAGTAGTTGTAACATATCTCATGCCTGATAACGCTGTTCCTTCAAGCATACAGTGTGGTGAGTGAGCGTTGTCACCCTATGACTAGAAGAGTGTTACTGGCAGGATCACCAGGTAAAAATAAAGGAAACAAATCCTGAAAATAGAAAACAAATGCAGGTACCACATCTAAGTACTGGTAAGCTGCAATATATTCATTTTTGATCTTGAGTTTAAATATATGTTAAATGCATTTTTATTGCAAGTGGTGTAAGTGCCTGAACCTGACCAGTCCCCTCAACAGTTCAGGGATATGCAGCACAAGGAGCAATTTAATGGTGCTCATATGTTAACAAGGAGTATGCTAATAGGAGGAGACAACTGAGTCTCAGAGAGAGGAGATTGTCATTGTGCTGCTTTTATATTCAAACTCCAGTCATGGGGTGGAGGAAGGGACAAAACCTGTAAATATTACTTAACTACAGCAGAGAAAAATCAGGCCTTCTCCCCTGCCAGACAGAGCTTTGCGTCACAGATGTAAATTGAATTTGAACTTGATGATACAAAAATTATTTGACAGCTAAAATAGCTCCCTTTTATACAGTATTTAGCCTATCTGTGTATTTAGCTGTTTGCCTGGAGTTCTGCTTGAAATCTGCACCTTTAAAGACTTATCAACAATGGTAGATATTTCTATTAACATAAGTTCCAATAAAGGTAAAATAGAGAATGGAATAGAAGCAAAAACTTGGGATTGTATACATACTATAAAAATGGATGATTTATACATTAACACTGTGTAGCCACAATGAATATTGCTTTTGTTTATATTCCTAAAATACTTTTGTAACCCTATTGTTCAAACAAACGCCCCTTGGGGTAACATTTTCCAACGTTTACCTTTAGCAAAATATCAACAATTCGCTGTTGGTGTTCCACTGCTTGCTTGTCATTAGTAAAATCTTCAAATGTCTACAAATAAAGAAACAAGTATTCACTGTATATATTTCTATGAACAAGACAACGTATTTATATGTACCTGTATATAGATGGCACCTTTTCATCACAGCCCACCCAAAATCAATACAATACTGATATTTTAGTTAAGTTGATTGAGCCAGTCTCTGGCTTCTTACGTGTCTTAGATACTCTCTAATTGGGACAAGGACTAATGTGTCTGTAGACTGTAAAAAGCTGCAGAACATGTTGGTGCCATAGAAATAATTGTCATAAAAAAACCTAATTGTTTTTCAAAAATAATGCCAATGGCATCATTTGTGTGACTTCATCACATGTCCTAGTAGATTACACAATAGTAGTAATCATGGGCAAGCAAACAACAGTCTAAGCTAGCCAAGGACATCCAAGGGAGGTTGTATGTGTGCAAACATCTTCCGCTAAACAGTAGCACAAACTGCCTGAGCATGCATGTTGTGACTTTGGAGGTGACTGGGCTCATAGAAAGACCTCCCTGCTACTGCCAGCCTATCTCAGGGAAACAAGCAGCAATAGGCCTTCAACAAAAAAAATTAAAATCAAATGTAGCTGATGGCCAATTTCCCTTAGATCAGTCGAGTGAGCATGTCTGTCAAGGTCTACTGGTACCCAGAGACAGGGGATATAGCCTGATCCACCATAAATCAACTGGATTGGGCCAAGATCGTCTCATGTCTATAGGTACCTTCATATATGTCATTTCCAGGGGCCTTATCATCTGATGCCTTCCAACAACTTAATTATTATTCCCTGTTCTGTTCCCAGATTATGAGCTTGAGGGAAATGAATAAACCTCATTTAATTTTATTCGAGTCTCCTGAGGACTATGCTTCAGAAAAAGAGACTTCAGAGGGGAGAGAGACGCTTGGATTAAACGTCCTCACTTTGAACTAAAGCCAGTCGTGGTGTTGATAATAAGCAAGCATTCCCCTAGCAGATGAAAGCGAAGCATTTGGGGGCTGAGGAGGGGAGAGGTACACATGCTTCCTGACTGCATGACAAGAAAGCAGTACAAACTGTTCGCATTTGAAAAGGAATCGTACAAAAGGCCAAATTGGTGACAAGTTTAAGAGAAGAAAAAAACCTATATAGTGTGTATATATATCTATATCTATATATAGATATATATACACACACACACATACATACACACCGTGTATAAAATTATTAAAACAAATTGGCTTCTTCTTCTGCTGCGTAAACAGAACAAAATTGCCACCATCTTCCATGGGCCCTTAACCAACAGTATATGTCAACATAACATCACAGTAAGTTTAAACAGACAGGTAGCAGATCACATGATCAACAGTATCAACTCATGTTACTTATCAGTTTCACTAATCATGATATGCAAAGCTTAAGGCTGGGCCCACTAGTCGATATATAGCGCATATTTAGCGGCGTGATATTGCACAAAACGAAGATTTGCATTCAAGTCTATGAGGCTGTTCACAACTCGTGCGGTAGAAATCGCCTGTCGAACAAAAAGGTGCAGAAGCCTAATAATTTGCAGTCATCCTGTAGCTGCACATAAACAGTCTCCTTCCGAGTTCGGATGAGCTTGGGTTTAGTCCGCATGTAAGCTCAGCCCTAACAACAGCTAGAGAAAAGTTAGGCGCCAGCTATAAATTTTAAGGAGCATTGGCTACCTGGCTCCTGAAATTTGTCCAGCCCTGCGGATGCCTATGCTATTTCTGTGGGTTCTGAATAGCGGTTACTCAGGTAAGCACAATGTTATTGTATGCAAATTGACCCCTCCTACCAGTCTCCTTCTCTTCATTATATATTTAGTTCAGCTGCTACCAAGTAATTTGTAATCCTCAACTCAGGAACAGCTAATCACAATTAAAAAAAAAAAAAAAAAAAAGTGCCCATAACTTGATATTTTTGCTGGTAAAATCATAGGATCATACGGATTATTCCATATCACATAGGTTTGCTAAGTATAAAAGATTGGGGTGTATAGGTGCATAGACAACATTATCTTTAATCAAAAACAATGCAGAGGGAGGGCCTACCTAAACAATCTTTTACATTTATATACCATTAGGTAGGCCCTACACTGCATAGTTGTCATAAATCAAAAAGAAATTGTACAATAAGATTGTAATATATATGGCCAGCTTAAATCCCCAATTATAATCTACAAACAATATGTCTCAATATATGAATCGTATGATCTTTTATACAAAACAACCTGATGAATGTATTGTGTCCAACCCTGCTGAGATCACTGGGACTCTCTCTGTTTTAGCTCATCCCCATGACAGACACCTTTCACATGCTGAGAATGAAGAGTTGTTCCTAATTTTTGACACATGTGTATGGCTGTTAAAAGCACAGGGATTCCATAACACTCTTTTATAAGGTAGATGATTTTCTAACATTGTACAAGGGTTACACAATGTGAATAGTTTATGATACAAATATTGCCTAATCTTTATCACTTCAAACATTTTGCTTTCTACTACATCCCCAAACACATAAATGGGACCCCACTGCTGGGGATATCTCAATTTCTCAATATTAATACTGAGGTTTTTTCCTGATCCAGCCAGCTCTGGTCAGATTGATGTCTTTAGGCTCTCCCTGACCTCTCCTGAGCATTCTCCTGGAAGATGCAATTGTCTGTAATTGATTTCCTCAGAGGATTGTCATTGTTTTAGGCCGATATAAGTTGGTGGTCAGATGTTTTCTTCTCAGGTAAAGACATCCATGTTTACCTTATGTGAACAAGCATGTTTACACAAAGATTTTTAATGAGAAAGATTGTTCAGTGGCTGGATCAAGCATGCCATATACTGTCTGTAGGCAGCTTTACTCCAGTCTTAAAGATACCTCATGGTCCCATTGTGGAAGGTATTTTTTGTTCCCTGCCGTGAGCATTAAAAAGGGTTTTTTTCAACTCGATGTTTGACACCAAACTTCTTGTTTGGATGACGTGCAGTATCATTCAACCCCTTCCCTCACAGTTGGACTGTCACAGACATACACCCTGACCTTCTAGAATACAGTGGGTGTTGTCACCATGCAGTCAGCGCCGCTAGAGGTCAACACGTATGCTCATGTAGGACACCCAGTGCTGCCCACTCCCTTGACAGACAATTCTTTCTAGTAGCATTCTACAAAAACAGACTGTCCCTCGCTATACTCATGCTTTCGACCCCCCTATTGCTGAGAGAGACTTAGAGCATGGGACCTGTATTTCCCAAGCAGCAGCCCACATCGGCACTACGTGATGTGAGGAAGTCATTTTGTTTCTCCCTCTGGAGGCCGTTATTTGAAACCAGAAGAGAACATGGTGCCACTCAACTTAGGAAAAAGTAAGTAACAACCGACAGACTGGAGCAGAGTTTTTATTCATTGATTGGGAGATGTTTATAAGCTGAATAGTTAATAATTGTCAGAGCTTCTGTTAAAAAAAAGAAATAAAGGCTAAGCCCCCATTGGAATGAAACACTTTCGAGGAGGAGTAGGAGAGGGTTGCCAGTGAGCAATGTGCTACAGTCTGACTTTGCGAGTTTGTATAATAATAAGGCTTGGACAATAACAAAAAAAAAAACCAAGAAAACCCAACAGTAGAAATTCACTTTCCCCACACTCCCTTTCACTCCATTCCTCCTTTGGTGTTGGGAGTCCTAACACTGTGCATGCTCTGCATCAGATGGTGTTTCACAGAGTTAATGATTTCCTTCACTTACTCATGTAACAGTGCTCAGACCTGCTTGGACCCAGAAGCACTGAATACTTCCCAAGGGTTTCCACAAAGCTACAGAGAGTTCTCTTTTCCAAGAGAACATATCATTTTGCCCTGAAAAGGCAAAGTGGCAGATTCTCTTAAGGTGTATCCATATCATGTAGTGGTCATCAATAATTTGGAGAGCAAGTAACTAAGTGGCACGGTTTTTAAACTTTCTTTTTGCGGAACATAGTGAATTTCACTCAAAAGCTGTCTTCTCATTTTAAATGGACAGAACCTGACCGTAGAAGTGCTTATTAGATATACAGTACTTTGAACACAACAAGTTAGCTATAAGAAACATAAAACAAAATGGATGCATGTGGAAGGAGGAGACAGGGTGAAGTCTAGAGATTTCTAATTAAAGATAGTGTTTTTGCTGCAATGGTTATACTCACAGATAAATTGGATAGATATGATTAAAGGAGGATTTGGAAGGAAATTGGTGTATTTCTAATGCTTCTACTGTTTTTAAGAGCCTGAAATGAATGACAGGACCTCTGGGAACACTACCATCTCCAGACATATTACCCTCAGTAATTAGAGGACCTCGAGGCCTTCAACCATTTGATTTTGACTTGAAACTGCCTTTGGGCTGTGATGACATCAGCGAGCAATTTACACAGCTTAGATTTCAGAAAAATATCACCAACTATGTGAGCAGTAGACTTTATTTCTAAAGAGCAGCACCTGATATTTCACCATTTTAGTAATCCAGAAACGGAAGTGAGCTATGCCTTTATTCATGTCCAGTATTTCCTTCAATTTTACATTAAATTGGTTGTGGTTGACAATCTAACAGATAGATTGTTTCATGGAAAAGAGATATTAATTGAGCCAAACAATTTAAAAGTTAAATAAAAATAAAGGGCAGCCAGATAAATCCCTAGATTAACATGCCAATATAAATTAATAAATTAAGCCAACCCATATTTAAAAAAATATAGGAAAACGAGAAGAAAAAAATCAGGTTTTGTCCTTTAGTAAGGATGTGAGTCGACAGGCGAATGCAGCTTGCTTTCAGATGCATTTAGCCAGAATTTGAGGTCAATTTGAGCACTTCTGAGATCGTTCAGAGTTCATAGACAGGTGCAAATGACTTGCAGTTGACCTTCTTCTCACCTACATTTGACCATTTCTTAAACTGCATCAATCTGTTTTTGCAGGCCTGCTGACTTGTGTGGGGAAAGAAGCAGTTCTAGTGTTCACAGTCCCTTATAGCAGTGCTCCCCAACCTTTTTATCGCCACGGACCGGTCAACGTTTGATAATTCTACCGCGGCCCGCTGAGGGGGGGGACGTTGATTGTTTATATTTTAGATTGGAATCACCTGTCCCGATAAATCCATATTTCAAGTAGGACTCATGGTATTGCCTGTTAAAAGTTACATGTTTCTTTGATGTTGAAGGCCCTTCTTCTGTCTCTTCACTGGGCCTTTTCTTTTTCCCAAGGAAACTTTCTAACGACGTCTGTTTCGTACTCATTTTTGCTAATTTGTGGGTTAAGTTTGAGCAAACGCAATATACACGTACACCAAGCACTGTTAAACATGAGAAAGTACCGGTGAACAGAGAGAAGAGCGATACACACCTTCTCTTCACCAAAGCTACAACGCCACTGCCGCTTGCAGCCGCTCAGCTCCAGACGTCACCTAAAACCGCCCCGATATCACGATATTTTGCGCATGCGCGGTATTGGTGCGGCTTTAGGTGACGTCTCTCAGCTCCCGGTTAAACTCTCGTCCTGGAAAGTCGGACAAACCCGAGAGAAATACACCACAGTAAATAAAATGGAAAGAGTTTAATATTCCTTGGGCGGCCCGGTACCATTTGATCCATGGACCGGTACCGGTCCGCGGGCCCGGGGGTTGGGGACCACTGCCTTATAGGGTCTCTATAATCTCACTAATTTCATTATTCAATTACAACCCCACTGCTTATTCATAAATATGACTGTAAATGGTATTCCTGATATGTACCCAAAACATTTCTAACATTTTCTGCTCAGACAGCTATCATTTAATTTGCTGCTAATGTATTTCATAGCTCAATTACGATCACAGAAGGCCAATGGTGATGATGGAACCATAGATGAATACTTGGCACTTGAAAAGCAGAGACGCATTTTTCTTTTTAAACAGAGCTCTTTGAGGCCTTATTTTTTAAATCTGTTATATAATAAAAAAAATCCTGCATTCCCAAAATACAGTAAAAAGATCATCAGTATTTGAACCGTTTAAAGAGCTCCTTTTACCAATTGTGTCCGTAGCAATTTTTTGGTTTTTGCACAAAAATGTTAAAATGTGAATTATTTGGCTAGTTTAACCCCCCCAACAATTACATATTTTCTAAAAGTAGAGGCCCTGTAGAAAAAAATGGAGACATCGGGGTCTATTAGATTACTACGGTCACCTAGGACCCCACAGAAGCTGATGGATCACATATCTTTAGGGCCAGTGCACACCTATTCGACACCCCACCGCAAATAATGCACGATTCCACGCAGATTGCCGCGTGGTCAGGAGTCGTATTAGTGTGCACCCCAGTCACGCTGGGCGAATCGCACGGTTTCCCGCCGTGATTCTGCCCGTGCTTCTGAACACGATCGCGGCTAAGACGTGTCGTGTATCGCAGAGAAAAGGTACTTGTCCTTGCCCTTAGGACCGCAACGTTTATGTATTGCAGTCCTGAAGTGGTTAAGCATAGATGGACAAAATTTATCAGGGTCACTATGCATCGTTTATCGTTACAATCATTTTGACATTCATCGGAAGCCTGCCTCTCGGCAGGGCGAGCTTGTGATGATCGCAAGTACGATCTGCCTGTCCATGATGGGCAGATCGTACGTTTTTTAAATTACTTTACAACCCTCGCAAGACAGAAGTCTTGCGAGGATTGTAAAGTGTATGGCCAGCTTAAGGAACATTCATCTACAGATTGTGAGCAGAAACCGTAACTAATTTTCCAACAATGTAAGTCAAAGTGTCTGCCAAGGGATATCATGTACTTTTGAGAGCCACTCATGTTTGTGCTACGACAACAAGGCATATGTAGTGACAACAATTTTCAGAGTCTGTATTTCCGTGCACTATCTGCCACCTGTAAGCCCACCTATCTACTGCCATCTACCCATCAGTTACAAATCAGTAACTGCTGCAGCAGCTCTGAATTCAACTTTCAGTTCACATGTGGCAATGCACTGACTCAATGACATTCATGGACTATAGAGTGTCTTTGTATATTCCCGCAGAGTTGTTCTTTAAAGGAGACCTGAGGGATGGATGCAGGCTGTCATTTGCTTAGTTGTCCTCCTGAAAATGAAAGCTGCCTGTCTGCCATGCTGATTCAATGGATTCTAAAATGTCTGAGTTACAGATTTGAAGCAAGTAAGTTGATCACAAGTTCTCTTTGACTTTTATTTGCTGCCTGCCAGTGCAGGGGTCGATTACTCAAAAAACTGAAGTAAAGAGACAGCCAGGCACCTAGCATTTTCATCAAGACAACAGTAACAGCAGCCTGCATATTTATCCAAGTAAAGATTTGATTAACAAGCTGCTTGGCTTTAAATCAGTATAAGTTTAAGAAGACTTGCAATCTGAAAACAGGGTCAACATACTATTAACAATCCCATATGATTACATGATGTTGTTATTTTCCATATATAGTGGTGTTATGGTGGATAGTTTGTCTCTCACACCTGGTTTTAAATAGGGTACTTACAGATATGAATGATTTTCTTCCACTTACCAATGCCAAAACATTTAGGAACTCTCTTGTGTCAAAGTGCAACAGTGTCCTGATATAGGGGTACACCTCCTCATCAGAGGGAGCCTCCGGAGAATGTAAACGTATTAGGAACTCAAAGACCTGTAGAAACAAGGGACAGTTAAATAGGGCCTATTTAGGTTAGTGCACTGATAGAATATGATATCTGTATGACTCTAACGCACTTCACAAAGATGATTTATGAAATGGTGTTATTATTGTTTATATCACTTAGAAAACATAACCAAATGTGTGACGTACAGAAAATCCAGAGTCACAACATATCCAGTTAGCTAAGTCATGTACAATGTAGGGAAATAATAATTCAAATACTTCATATCTACAGAAAAAATAACCGTATACAAAGCACTAACCTGGTTTTTCACCTGCGGAACAAGGTCTTCAGGAATGTCACCTAAAGGATAAGCTCGCCCAGCCAAACTTGAGCTATAAAAATAGATGAGAGGGAAATAAAGGCATATTATTAGGAATGCCATAAGAAGATAACAGGAAATGAGATGGACTATTTTCAGTATAAATACATAAAAAAATAAATAGCTAACATAGTAAAAAAAATAACAAACACCACACCTCATTTGTCTTTTCAAAAAAATGTGGGAGAACTTGCACCAATGCTATCTTGCAATGCCAGGGCTACAGAGATCTGGCTGGCTTAGCCTGGGTAGGCACCTCCTGTGTAAAACCCAAAAGGAATTTTTAAAGGAGAACTTTTGGGAGAATAATATATACTCTTCCCAATAGTTTGAGCCGGTGTGTGACACTGCAGCTGTCACACGACGGCTCTGTAGCTCGAGAACTGAACGATCACAAACTGCTGATCACTCCGCTCACGGCGTCTCCCTACAGAGTGCGGGGACCCACTCCCCACGGGGATTCCCCCCTCCCTCTATGTTCCTCTAGCGCTCATTAGAAGGGCAGACAAGGGAAGGGGCGGACACAGTAGGCTCTGGCTCAAGAGAGGCAGAGCAAACTGTCAATCAGACAGCGGGGTGGATCCCGACAATATTTGCGCGGCTCAGCGCCGTCAGCATATAGCAGGCAGTAGCCCGCTATATGCTGAGTTTGGGTCACAGGGATACATTAGTAAATATTCTCCTGTGACACAAAAGAGAACTATAGCCAAAAAAATGTTTGGCTTTAGTTCTCTTTTAAAGTAAACAACAAAAGAACCTTTTAACTTTTAGCATTGTTGACATGACAAAATTAAAAGATAAGCACACTTTCGTAGAAAGTGCATTTATCATTTTGTCTATCCCGCTGGCCAAAGGTAACCAACCCTAAATGCATACTTGCTCTAATTCCAGATCCACCAGCTGCCAGAATGTCAACATCTGCAGCCAAAATATTCTTGCAGTGCTTGCACAGTCAAATCCCATAGGTTTCTCTGGGAAGGTCTCCTAAGCATCTTCAGTCTCAGCAGTAGGTCCCTTTCAGAAGCCTCTGGGGACTGACTGTGCAGGTGAGACGAGTGGCAAGAAGATTTTGGCTCCTGATCTTGGCTAGCAACAAGAATGAAGAATAGGTGTACTTCAGGTTAATTTAAATGCTGTGCTCCTGCTGTGGAGATTTGGCCAGAATATTTTCTGGTGACAGAATGTGTATTTGGGTAAAACAAATACAGTGGGGCAAAAAAGTATTTAGTCAGCCACCAATTGTGCAAGTTCTCCCACTTAAAAAGATGTGCTTGCCTATTGCAGATTCAGTCTTCCCAGCCTGGTGCAGGTCTACAATTTTGTTTCTGGTGTCCTTTGACAGCTCTTTGGTCTTCACCATAGTGGAGTTTGGAGTGTGACTGTTTGAGGTTGTGGACAGGTGTCTTTTATACTGATAACAAGTTCAAACAGGTGCCATTGATACAGGTAATGAGTGCAGGACAGAGGAGCCTCTTAAAGAAGAAGGTACAGGTCTGTGAGAGCCAGAACTCTTGCTTGTTTGTAGGTGACCAAATACTTATTTTCCACCATAATTTGCAAATAAATTTGTTCCAAATCAGCCGATGTGATTTGTCTGGATTTGTTTTCTCATTTTGTCTCTCATAGTTGAGGTCTACCTATGATGCCAATTACAGGTCTCTCTCATCTTTTTAAGTGGGAGAACTTGCACAATTGGTGGCTGACTAAATACTTTTTTGCCCCACTGTACATGAACAAATAAATGCAAAAAAACAAAAGCATTGCTGTTCCTCTCAGTCACATTTAGAGATAAAAACAATAATATTTGGTAGTTTACAATACTAAGGTCTTTAGTCTCCAGATATCTACCCTTCACCAGAACCTGCAATGAACCTTATCAGGTGTGTACATGCATTTCACATGTTGCTAACAATTCATTGATTTCTCTGTCAATAGTAAAGTTGTGGTACACAGACATTTACATTTATAAGTAGGAAAGTCTGCGAGCAACATGTATTAATTTTGGGAAATTACTGCACTGAATCCTCAAATAAATCCCATACTGTATATCAGACCCTTCCAGGATTTTTTCTTCCTTCTGCATTAATTTAATATCAGTAGTGACTTAACTTATATTGCACTGATTCATAGAAAATCACAAAGACTGCTGCTAAGTTTAAACTAGAACAGTTTCTTATATCTATGGCAAGCACAGTAAATAGCTCCAGATCCATGTACATGGTACCAACACCTCTGTAAATCTGTTTGACACTGACAGAAGTGGTGCAACTAGTCAAAAATGAAATTCAAATATTCACTAGTAAAAAAAGTCCATTTACATAATTGGTTTATCATTTTTTATTGTCAGGAGAAATTACAGTAAAAAAGTTGTCTCATCTTGTATTATTTTTCGAAGCTCAGTCGCCTAACCCCCATAGTGTATGTAAACTTAGAAGAACCTTGTGAATGACAGCTCATATCTCATTATTCCTGTGCTTTCCAAACACATAAACAGGCTCCCCTTCCAGTTCTAGTGCTTGTGTTGATTCCTAATAGAGTGTGCCCCCTCCCTCTGCATTTCTGTGATCTGCTTGTGTCTGGAAAGTGCAGGAACAGTGAGATAAGAGCCATCAATCAAGAGTCCATCTCATTTGCAGGATGCGGTAGGAAAAGGGGGAGGGCAATCACCGTCTGGATCTCAGCTTCTATTGCACACAGAAGCATGGGATAAAAAGCAACATACACTGTGGGAGTTAGGTGACTGAGCTGTGAAAAATATAAAATTCTGAATCCATAAACAAGTGTTGTCATAATATGTGTTAGAAACAAATTAATATAAATGAAACATTAATAAAAGCCAACCTGCACATATTTATCTTTCAGATGTTCAATATTCACTTTGCAATTACTATATTAAGCCAGTAAGTGTGGCAGTGTGATAACACCAGCTTCATGTTGGTCTTATTAGACTCCAGTTTTTTAATAAGAAAAGTGTCTGTACGGTTTTGTGAAACTGACTTTCAGTTGCCACTGATAATAAGAGCAGGTGCTAATAAGAACTATGTGTATTTGGAAAAGAAATCCTATCCTAAAGTGACATTAAAGTCTAAATCCCCCCCCCCCATGCTGCTTTATGGACTTACCTTAAATGATGCCTCTTGATCCGTTCATCTTCCTTCCAGTAGTTTTCAGGAGTCCCTCCAGCGCTGGTGCCGGTCTCTGATCCAGCGGTGACTGCTGTGTCTTCTGTGTCCCACGGGGTCTGTGCGGGTGCGCGCTCCCGGCCTGCCTGCATCGACTTACCCTGTGTCTCTCCTCGTCTCCCGGCCGAAGATCTCTACTGCGCATGTGCCAGTCCCATGATCATTTGCGGCCACCCTAGAATCTTCAGATCTTCGGACAGGAGCGTGCGGCGGAGACACAGGTAAGTTTTAACCTTTTTGCAAAAAAACACGAGGGTTTAATTGTATTTTAAGTCATGGTGAATTAGGTGTACAGGTAACATGTTGCTGAATAACTCTTGATTACTGAAGAAAAAGTGAATGTGAATTTCCCCGATTGTGTGTTACAGGAGTAAAAAGAAGTCAGACAGTTGTATTCTCCCTTGAACACAGATGAAACAAATGTCTCCTACTATTCACATTGCTTCTCAGAAACGTAACTACCGCATCATGCAGTAGGTTAAAGCCATAAGCAGTAATCAACAAAGGAAATTGATTACCTGCCCAGTAAGACATCAGCAAATTGATATGAAGCTTTGTCTGTAATTTTTTTCAATTCTTATTGCTTAGAGGGAAACTAAAATAGCTTTTGGACAATTGTATTGAAAACATATTCATAACATTGTAAACTAATCTTTTATGTCACTTTTGTATTACTTGTATAAAATATGCATTACAGAAACATATAATATGGAGTTCTTAAAAGATAGAAGAGCATTCTGGGCTTTCTAATAAGACAGCCTACACCAAAGCTGGCTATACACTTTTGATCAGAAGATCGAAAGAGCCAGATGGGAAATCTTTGGGTGAACAGTGACAGCAGCCAATCAGCTGCCTTCAGTGTTTGGGTATTCCGACATCGGCATCCCCACCACCCCCGGCACTGTCAGAATACAAAGAACACAACGGGAGATTCATCCATCCATGCTATTTATAGCGCATGGAGGAATCTGGTATATATTTTTCCGTTCCGCCTGCAGGTATACCCAGCTTAGGTGTGTGTTTTCTGAACATAGTTGCATATTAGAGGACCTAATGGCACTCTTTAGAATATAGAAGTACTACTTGCCCTGCAGTTGTCTGTTATGGTGTCCCCTGGCAACTGACATGGGTTCACCTGAGGCACAGAGTCTAAGTGACAACTGGTCTTCACCATAGCTCCTGATGGTGGAGATAGGCCAGAAACCCTAATGGTTCTGGTTTTCTTTCCCGCTAACGGTCACCAGGTCATGGGCATCAGGATTGCCCTGCCTAGGGGGTAGCTGGAACAGAAAGGCTACAATCTGGTTGTGGCAGAGTTCGTGGGCAGGTGGCAGGCAAGAGATTAGTCAGGTCCAGGCAGGCAAAAGGCAAGAGAGTAGTCAGGTCCAAGCAGAAGTCGTAGGCAGGCAGAAGCCATGAGACTAGTCAGGTCAATACGGGTTAGCAACAAGCAAGGCAATCAGGAAGAATAAAAGCCCTTTTGCACAAAGGATAGCTGGCAATGAGACAGCGCTAGCTACTTCAAAGGCTGGAGTCTAAATACCCTTTTGGTTAAAGGATACACCCAGCGTCATTTCAAGGAACTCTGGAAGTCCTGACAGGGAAGCTGCAAGTAGCATTGAAAGTCCTGGCTGGAATTATAGAAGTCCCGGCTAGGATTCTAGAAGTTCCAACAGGGATTCTGCATGTACTGTAACACTGATCCTTATTTGATCTGCATTTGAACTCTTTTTAAGCCAATTTTGTTTTCCCATTGACTTTTATGGGAAAAGAAGCATTTCTGATGAGAAGAAAAAAGTCTGTGCACACAGCACTCAAATAATACTATATATTTCTATGAAATTATTTAAATGAATTAATATTTCAGAGTTTTAAAAACCACTAAAAGGATCATGTTGTTGCACACCACCTTTTTCCTACACAGAAAACAACTCTAATCTAAAAAGAGGGATCAAATATTTGGCTTGATGCTGGGACAAGGATACTCACTCCTTGAAGAAAAGCAGGTTATGGCACAGAAGTATTTTTCTTCATAAATGATTTTTATTCACTTGCAAAATTCCTTGGAACTTGCTAGACAAATTGACTAGTTAATTCCCTGGCACAGCCTCCTCCCTCCTTGCACATAATAGCCCTGTCCTCTTCTGGGAGTATCTAATTACTTTCTGTGCTGGCCCAGCCCTTCCATCCCTCCTTTTCACTTTCCTACATAATGTTCATGTTTCATGTAGCTGCCAGGGTAGGAGCAAAGGGGCACATTATACAGTGTAAATTGAATGACAGATCTGAGTCGGTTGACATCACGTCCAAGATGGCAGCGACCAGCAGACGTCTCAGGACTTTTAGAATCCTACACAAGGGAGGCTTTTACATGTATATAATATGCATTAAACATGTTAGGCACACATAAAATCGTATTGAATGATTTTTTTAAAATCAATTGTCTGGCTATAAAGTCTCTTTAACCACATTCTGACTGGCCATTCCAATCAAACAGTCAGTCAGGGTAGCTGTTATATTTTTAAACATCCTTGTGTTTAGAGTGTGTGTGAATGCACACAATGCCTGTGATTGAGCCGTCATTGGACAATGGAGATCACAGGAAAAAAAACATAGAGCCAATCAGAGTGACTCTGCACTTTGTGATTGCCGAGAACCAATCATAGAGCTCACAAGTGCAAGCACTTCACATACAGCCAGGAAGGGAAATTACTGGCTTTATGGTATTTTGCCAAAGACCCTCCAGTAGCATGTCTACAGTGTGAGTCCATGAGTGATCAGCAGCAGCGCTTTGTAGGATGAGGAGCAGCCGGATGAATAACAATGGGAGTAGTATGACAGGGAAAGAAGAAGCGCAGTATACAGCAGGTGAGCTCTGTTTGAACTGCCTTACAACATGCAGTCAAAGAAGCTGTTACATGGGGGGCGTGGCCAAGCGGCGTGCATGGACGGACGCTGATCGCAGCAGCTCCGGTCCCACTCTCATCCTTACCCTATCCTGACGGTTCCAGCGACTCGGTCGGCACCCGGGCTCCTTCCGCTCTCCCTCAGGATCCTCCTGGCAGCTGCGATGGGGAAAATCGGGGACCAAAGGGACGTCTCAGCGGCCGAAAAATTGGCCCGGTTCCAGCGGCAAGATGGCGCCGGACATGCGGCCCTCCGCACCTCCTCGGGCTCCACGATGAGGACAGGGACTCCTCAATCCTCAAGTAAGTCATGTCTTGAACCTGGTATATTGCATTCACAGCTTGTGTAACCTTGTAACCTCATGACAAACATAGTGAGTGTACTGATGTGTAAATGCCTGGGTTATGTTGACCCAATTGTTGTTTGTGATGGTGTTGTTGTTATCATTGTTGTGTCTCGGACACTTGCAAAAATCAATAAAAATTATCTATAAAAAAAAAAAAAAGAAGCTGTTACATGTGGGCAATGCGAGTCTAGTACACAAAATGTTGTACTTTTCCAGCTTCAGCTGCGTTTATTTCAATATTTTTAATCCAGCATAATCTGGCTATTGTACACTCTTCATGTAAAGGCAAAACAGATGTGATCTGTGCATTCATTGAGTAATTGTCAAACTATCATAGCACTGAAAGCTAAAAAAAAATCTCCTGGAAAGGAAGTGGGTGTAAGAAGCTCGTATTGAGGCGTTTAGGAACATTACTTACCTAATATATACAAGAAGCTTGTTTCCCATCACAACTTGCTCATCTAAAACAAATCAGAAAAATGATTCTGTGATAAAAAGTATGTAATCAAACAGTACAGTAACAAAATGACAAGATCTGTGCCCAACCCCTTAAAAAAAAAAAACCTTCCTGCAGGCACGTGCTCAGGAAGGTACCAAGTGCGCAGGGGGGCCCGCAACCTTAACAGCCCTCAAATAACACTTCACATATTAAACGATAACTAAAAAATCTTGCCTAGAGCCTCGTCTCTCCACACAAGTACTGGCCATACCCCCCTGATGGCAGCCCTGGCAGGGGACTTGAATTGCACCCCCCCCCCCC